CCTTCCTTCCGAGGAGTGGCTGGTGGGTTTGAACCGCCAGCCTTCTGGTTAGCAGTCAAGTGCCTTAGGCACTATGCTACCAGAGCTCCCAATAATAGCATAGTATATCTAATGTTATCTAAAGACCAACTTATGAAGTGGGTATAATTTGTCTTTCATCCTTTTCTTCCAGTGACCTATGTTCTCATGCTGCCTTCAAACTTCTTGAAGCCATCAAGGCAGAGTCCTTACCAGACTCAGGCAGTCTGAACTTCTCCTGAAACCTCTGCCTATCCCCTTGAAATGTGTTCACTGATGCTCATAAACCATTCACGTTACATATTTACAATTTAGCAAAGGCTCTCTGACATATGGTTGCTTTTACATAAAGAAGGGGTGAGGATGATCATCACCATGACCGGACATTTCGTAGAATGTAGATGTTCATGTTTTACTACTACTACTTGTTGTTGTTAGCTGCCACTGATTAGGCCTCCAGTTCATGGTGACCCCACGCCCAACAGAGTGATACTCCACCCAATCCTGCACCATCCCCATGATCGGTTGGGGATTGGATCATTGTGATCTATAGAGTTTTCATCGCTGATTTTTAGCAGTAGATTGCTAAGCCTTACTTCCTAACTTGCTGTACTCTGGAAGCTCTGCTGGAACCTGATCAGAGCAACATGCAAACCACTACTCACAGATGGCTGATGGTTGTGTATCAGGTGCATTGGCTGGGAATCAAACCCTGGTCTCCCACATGGAAGGTGAGAATTCCACCACTGAATCACCACTGTCCTCACTACTACTAGCAGCTGATATTTATTAAAAACTGGGCTAAGTACTTTTCAAATATTTCTTCCTTTAACACATACAACCCTATGAAGTAAACATTTGCCCGGGGCCACCCAGATGATAAACTGCAAAGTCCATGTGTATCTGATTGTAGAGCACTGCTCTTAACCACTGACATATAACGCCTTTCTGTAGTACTGGTCCTGAGTTCTCAACTCATTCTTTAACTTCAAAGATTTCCCAAGAGTCTCTTTTGAAAGCACTCTATTCCATCTTTAAAATTCATTTTCCTCTCTTCTCCTTGTACACCCACAAAAAACCAAACTCACTTCCATTGAGTCGACTCTGACTCATAGCAATCCCCATTGGGTTTCCAAGGCAGTAAATCTCTACAGAAGTAGATTGCCTCATCTTCCTTCTGTGGAGAAGCTGGTGGGTTTGAACCAGCAATCTTCTACTTAGTAGTCAAATGCCTTAAGCACTGTGCCACCAGAGCTCCTACACCATTATAGCATAAATATCCCTCTTTAGTCTTTTATCTCTTTATATTTTACTCTCATGCCTAGAAGCTAGCAAGCCTACATTGTATGTAGGACATTTTGCTGGTATAAAGACCACTACGGTGGCATCTAGCCTCTCACTGCTCTATTATGATGCCATTCTTCCCTGATGTTGCTACATTTTGTTCACTACCAACTGCTCTGTTTCCCCCACATGCCTTCTCTTTCTAACAGAGACAGCAGACAGTACCATTGTTTTCTTGCCTGTCAATCTATCCCAGCCCTCTCTCTTGGCTCAGTGATGCATCTCCACTCATAACCTTGTTTCTCAGTAGAAACATTCTTCAAGTCTAGGTTGAGGCAAAGGAAATCTTTCTTAAAGTACGGTGAGAATATATGTTATTCTTTAAATCATTCTCCTGGCATGAGGATCAAGAAATGTGACGCCCTGTTTTTTTGTTTTGTTTTCTCGAGGAGATTTTACATGCATCCTTATTTCCCACTGATCAATTCAGACCTTTCTCCATCTCCCCTGAACTCTAGACATGCAACTAAGACACTGCTATTGCAAAAAGGTCATGGAGACAGTATTTCTGACCTCTTGTAACTTCATGAGAGGGAGACAGAATAACCTTCAGTGGCCCAAGGCTTATTCCTATGAGACCAGACATGAAAACACCCTCCAAACTTTTTACCAGTTCTGACACCAGCCATTCATCCCACAGCACTCACTACTTCTCTCCTGGGTTCGATAATTCATTGCCACAGCCACAGAGAACTCAGAGAGAACACTCATGGTTATGGGGCTCATTAAGCTAGTAACAGGTTCAGAAACACACTCAGGATACAATTCTTCAATCAGGTCAATCTCCCCTCAGCCACGCCCAAAAGGCATGTCTTTCTTT